TTTGGGTCACTTTTGTTCCTAAACCGGACATTCATCTCCTAATCTGACATGCTTCAAAGCTGACTCAGTCTGACAGTCTGCAACCAAGACTCTGTCAGACCGGTCTCATAGTGAACCTGTTGGACCGCTGTTATCACACAGTGTGTAGGGGCTTTAAGGGATGCACCAGAAATACAACCATAATCTGTATTTCAATCCATTATAATTTGTCAAGTACACCTAAACTCCCACATGGTCAGAGTCAAAGTGAAACATTCGATTTTAATTAAATTAGACAAAAATCCTTCATTCTGTACTCGGAGCTGCTTCAGAGGAAATGTAAGAACACATTCAGTGAAAATCTGAAGCATCACACTGAGATTTTTTGGCATCTGATCGACAGTAAGGCAGTAATCTGAGGATTAACGTCTCTGACTGAAAGCAGAGTTTAGTTTCATATCATCAAGAGTTTTGTAACAAGAAATGGCAGGAAGGTCCCCCATTAAGTCCCAGACCACACCCTCTGTCCTGCAGCACATTCAAACAGCCAATAGGATTTTTAATTTCTACAAATATTTTTTACAGAACTTTCCACAGGTTAACTCACTGGTGGGTTTAAATGTGTTAAAAGGTCAGCAAGATAACTAACGTGTTGACTAGCTGTTGGTTACGGACTTAAAAATACTTTACTTTTATACTGGTTTAAACTACTGTTTATATTTTCAACCATGGCACCGAAACAGGCCAGAATCTTGTTAGTTAATGCGAGCAAAGCATTAAAATGAGCAAAAACTATTTAAACGCACTCATATTTGTTCTCATAAGTTAATTTCCTACACAAACGACGACGTTGCACGAATAGTTTTAACTTTGTCTGCCATTTCTTTATGGTTCCTCCCCATTTACCTTTCCTGTAAAGTTAAACTATCCAGTAAAATCACATAGAAAACATTTAACATTTTAGAAGTCTGGCTTCTTTTTCAAGTAAGAAAAGTTTTTTCTTCAAAGAAATGTATAAAAAATTAAAGTTGTTTTGGCATCAACACCAAACACCGAGAACCAACCCATTATCTCAAGCTGCCTCTCATAACAACACGGTTGTCCTCTTCCCGTCTGCAGCAGAACACTTTACTTTCAACCGAACGCTCAGGCCAGAAATATTTGTAGAACTAAAAGACAAAGTGCATTTTAATCCACTGCTGCTAGTCATTGGTGTGTTATTCCTTCTGTTGAATGACACACACAATGTCATGTGATGTGGAAATCTGTGCGCACAGATAAATAAAGTGTTTACATTAATGAAAGCACAGATTAATAATCAAAGTCATCAAAATACAACAACATGCAAGGACGAAGTACAGGCCAGGAGAGGTATGTTTCTGTATATCTTGTGCTTTAAGAGTCAGAGAGAGCATGCTGTGACTTATTTTTTGTGACTTGTTTTTTATTAAGTGCATCATACTGGATATTTATAGTATTTTCACTATTTTTCTGACACTGGTTATTAATCTGTGCTTTCATTTATCTGGTATGACGATTAAATGTATAAAATAATGTCTAACAACCGGCTTTATATCTGAATGCCGGATGCATATTCCAGAAGTCTAAATTTGACCCAAACAGCACCATTAGATTATTAATCTGCACCTATATTTATGTATCCATTTTAATTCATTCTTTTATTAACTCATGTGTTCGTTTTAATAGTTTAGTTTTTCATGGATACGGTTTATTAAATGTACAATGAACCAGTGGTACATAATTCTAATCCGTGCGTACATTCATTAATCCACATGTTCATATTAATATGCGCATTAACATTATAAATCCATGTTTTACTTATCAATATCTATACGTTTTATTATCATAGCCTAATAATATTAATTTGTGCACAGGTTTTATTAATACATGTGTCTGAAGTTTATTCCTCCGTGCAAACAGATTTCCACACCAGTCATTTCGTCAACCCTACACTGCTGTCTATTCATTTAAAACGGTTACCTACCTGTGTGTTTTCTAAGTGCATGAAAATCTGATTGAGTTTAAATTCAGATGGTTAACAGTTTAGTTTTTAAGAGCACCAAGGACAGTGACACAGGTCCTGTCTGTGAGAAACTGGACAGCATATTGTAGAGAAACTGTAATCAATGCTGCACACAGTCGTTTGATACTGAACTCATGGCTGCTCAAGATAAAGAGTACGTCTTTATGGCTGTTCACTGAACTCTGTGGGAAGGTGATGTGATGTTTCTTGGGAGTTACTGCCCCACCCCAGATAAAGAAGGATTTAGTCAACTTTAGTGAACGTTAATGGTAATTTCACCATCAATATCTGAAATCAATGGCACACTCTCTTCAACACAGTAGGAAAATTACTGTCGCTGCTGTTCTTCTGTATTTTTTTTCTTCTTAATAAGTCTCAGAATTAAACCAACAATGTGTTCACATTGTTCACTGGTTCCTGCTGAAGACGTAAAACATCTAAAAAACTATTGTTTCATGTTTAAAGAGGTTCAGTAGTTCCTAAAACAGCTGCTCGCAGTAGCTTTTAATCAAACAGGAGGAAATAGCACATTCGTTGGGGACTATTTTCAGCGGCGGATATATTTAACACATTTGGTTTTCTATATTTCAGTACGTGTTGGAGTATGAATTCATTGGTGGTTTGGTTCTGCACACAGGATTTGTTGAGAGTAACAGAAATGTAGATTTTCACCAGACTTGTTTTTTTTTTCGTTTTTTGTGTTTGTTTGTGTTGTTAGCATGCTAATGTTTCCTGTTTCGTTGTTTCAATTCACCTAAAGTTTTAGCATGCTATTGTTATTTAGCACACGTAAGTATTAGCCCCTGAGTACATGGTTTAGCATGCTAACAAAGTCATTAGCATGCAAGTTATTTTCTGTAAAATATTAGCTTGTTAATGTTTGTTAGCACACTAGAACGAGGAGCTGTTTATTTTAGTGTGCTCGCAAAAATTAGCATAGCAGGCTAACAGGGCTTTACTGTGCATCATTTCATTACTGGGCATTTAAGAAATGTGATTTTAAAAAGAGTTAAGTGCATCCATGGTCCAGACTGCTTTTACTGAGCTCGAGGAATTATTAAAGTAGAATAAAATAAAGTTGGAATGATGAGAACTTTGAGAACGAATGCTAATAAAGCTAGTTACTGTAAACCGCTGAGTAAATGCAGCAAAGAGACGATACGGAGACGATACAGAGACGATGACGGTGGCAGCACTCAGACCTTTTGGAGGTTTTAGAGGGAGATCACTTTATGGCACACGACAGGAAGGGGGCGCTGTTTCTTTAGAGCTAAAACAACTTCAGCTTTTCTATAAAAAGCTTCTCCAAATCTTTGACAGCAGAAGGCGGAAGAAGGGAGAAAAACTAAATGTCCACCTTTTAGGGAACGTCGGGCGAACGGGGCAGGAAGCAGCAGGCGTGATGGGAAATGTAGTTATGACAACAACAACAACAATGTGAGTGATTGTTTGCACCGCTGTGTCATCCGTTGATACGTACTCCAAACGTGTTACTGATACGTTTAAAATGTGACACTGAGCACCTTTAAAATGGGACTTTAGAGGTTCGATAGGATTCAAGAGAAATTTAACAAAACGTATTCTGGACATCTGAGTAATACTGCGACTACTGTCCGTTCAGGTTTTTACTGTTGTGATCAGGGATATTTACGAATCAGAAAGCAGCGGCTGGTCCAGAATCAGCTGTTCTGTTACGTCTGCAGTACGAATTATAATCCAATCGGGTTCATTATCCAGGTGGTTGCTAGGCAGAAAATTGACCCGGACACAGCAAACTGCCAACACAGCCGTCTGGTTCCTTCATGACGGATCGCTTATTACACTGCTGCACCTGCAGGGAGGGAAGGAAGGAAGGAAGGAAGGAGGGGAGGAGGGAAGGAAGGAAGGATGGGAGAAAGAGAGGAGGAGGAGGAGTGGAGGAAGGACAGTTAGACTGCAGTGAATATAATATCTATCATGTGAATCTGACTCACATGTCTGATTATCACTTGTTGAAACTAACAGCTGCTTCAGTGTCTCTGTCAGTTCCCCTTCAGCGGCTGATTAGCGCCGTTAGCATTCCTCACAGAAACACAGTGAGACTGTTACCTGAAGGGAGCATCTATGGGCAGAAATGGAATATAATAAATGGTCGGTTGGTTGATATCTCTGCTTTAATAGATGATAAACGCCCCCCCCCACTGAACTCCAGACTAACTGACACAATGTGAAATAACCAGCAACAATCTGAACATCGGCGCCGAGCCTCAGAAGAGCTGAGTGGATAAAGTTTCATCCTGATGTGTGTGTGCATTGTGAGTGTAACTAACGGGCAGGAGCGAAGGCTCAAGCTCTCCAAACTCTTTATGTTGTTTATCCTGCTGAACTTTGCTTTAGCATG